AACTAGAAACACCGGGAAAGAGAGTGTTTGCTAAGCCATGATTCAGCAAACCATGGCATTCGCAGCCTGGTGTGCGCTGGCAGTTATCTCGCACCTGGTCAACTGCCGGTAGATGCTCGCTCCCACTGGCCGTGTCCATGATGGCACAGTGACTTGTGCCATCCCGTTCACTTATTGACCCGTTTTTTGTTGCTGGTGAAGACCCTGGTCAAGTGTTTACTGTGGAAGAGGGGGTGTTATGATGCGGGTTTTTGTCGTACCAGTCAACTGCATCCTCTTCCGTCTCCGGTCTTATTGATCTGACACCGGGTCCAGGTGGAAAGGAGGAGAGAGTGCGGTAGATGCATCGTAAGTCTACTCTCACCACAAACTAATTCACGTGCAAGTCACCTTGCTTGATTTCATCTCGTTGTGGACCACAGGGTGGGCATCGTCGGACGCGACCGTTGAACTTTCCTATTCATTGCAGTACAAAGACGCGCGAGAGAATCACCTTGATCTCGTAAGTGTAATCAGAGATATGTGCCAAAAGCGCAAACGTTAGGTGAAAACTGCGGCATCAACTGGAGCGAAAAAAGTCATAAAAATTTCAAAAAGCTTACTCTCTAGAAGTATCGATCTTGCAGTTTATATGAAAACCCGAAGCCTTGTCCGCTCGTATGTTACGCTGCAGTGGTACCTCTCCGCTGTGGCTCTAACTTGTATTCATGAATAACCGAATTTAGATGATACTTTAAAAAAACCTTAGCAGACTTGTATTCAAAGTGGAGAGCTTGAAAAAAATCAAAAGAACGAATTCGCCTGGTCTTTAAGCGTCCAATTGAGTTCCAAAACAAAGTGCGGCAGCTTAATTTATCTCTGAACATGTAGGGAATATTTTCGTTCACTTACGGAGACAGAATTCACCCTGGGTTTTACGATTTCTCTAAGTCGCCGGACATGGGTTAATGAGACCTCTGTATTTGAGCATAAAGGGAAGCTGACTTTATCTATAATATATTCAAGTTTATAGGATCACCGGGAAGTTTAACTAGCCATTTATTCGAGCCTAGTGTTGAAACACGGGAAGATGCGACGTCCCTATCGGTGAAATCAAGCAAAATTCTGTTTGTGTTGTTGAACTGCATCTCAACCAACTCAAACGTGTCCAGAATACCACGAATCCCCGGAAAACTGTTTTGGAATCTATACTCAGAATTTAGACTGTTGGCCAACCGCCCTATCTGAAATTACATTAATTCTTACGATATATTTAGATGCAGACTTCATTAAAACATCGTTTTTAAACGTTCTTTTATTTGTGCTTTCATATTTGCTCAGCTTTTTTGCATGAGAAGACATTCTGCACATACAAAAACGAAGTTTACTTGATTACAACAATTTTTGGCGTTTTTGGGATTTTGAGCTTTTCTAAAACATCGGCATTTCGAAGCAAAGCAACACTGCCTTTTATATTTTTTTTATTTTTTTATACTTTTTAAAAGTTGTGCTTAATTAGCATGTATATGGAGTCCATGCATTAGTGTCGGTTTACGAGTGATTGTCAGTTATTCGTAAATTTCGACACCCTTCACGAGTTAGGTTACAACTGTATATTTTCAGAGCAAATTTACTTCACTTTTTAGGGTCGCCACTCCACCTACTTAGGTAGACTAAAGTCTCGAATCAGAAGGCAGTGGGAAGAGGCTGCACTTAAAATGAACATCAAACTCTCCTGTCGACTGCGAAATTCAAACAAATGGTCTGCACTGACGATGCGGGCCTCCGGGTTGCCCTAATCTTTCAATTGTGAGAGGTTTCAAGCGAAGGACGTAATGCAGTACAATCACGGAGACTGGGGGATACGCAGATAAATTGCACGCCTTTATGTGCTTGTCGGCGGGGGGCAAGGGCAAAGGCTTTGGCGCCGAACGATAATTTGATTTTCGCTGACTGTGCCTCGCCTCTTTAGTGCGCATTCGATAATTTAGGCCAAAACATTTTGACTTAATGTGGCCCAGTCGGGGAAATTACTTTTCTGCCTTTGAATTAACTACGTATGCTTTTTGGCCAGGTAAGGTAATTCTTTCGTTTCGAAAAATCCAATTTTCACATGAAAGTTGGCTGACTAAAATCCTACGGCAGGTCTTCAGTCTGTTTAATTTAATCGCTTCCAAACCCTTCTGACTTGTTCAAATGTTCATAAGTCAATGTGAGTACCTTAAGTTCCTTACTGAAGCTGTTCTTCGTAGTAAATACTTGCTAATTAAATCCTATAGTTGGATGGCGTAGGCAGTCGAGCGTGGATGGCAAATTTGTAAACTGACAGTTAGGCCGTCGTTGCCGACAATGTGCACAGTGTACTTCAAGGCATGGTGAAGCAAGGATGGTGAAGTGTACGTGAATTAGTTTATAGGTAACGTAGACTTGCACAGCATCTACTGCACTCTCAGCTCCCCCAACAGAAACCAGTGTCAAGAAGACCGGGGACAGAGAAGGACGCAGGTGGATGGCATGGTCGAGCCCGCACCTAGGCGTTCCACCACACATCCCCTGGTCAGCACAGCAAATTACCAGGTTTTTGACTAAAAACAAAAGGGTGGCTGACACGGCCTTAGTCGCACCTAGGCGTGACGTCACACCTGGCTCAGATCCCACGGATTGACAGTGCCACAAAGACCACATTAAGAAGGAGCCATTTCAGTATGACTCGTAGATCACCAGTCGGTCGCTCCCCACCGGCACACATCTCCTCAACTGAGGATAAATCTTTCGCTGTTTACTAAAGATTTCCGTGTGGGTTGCAGTACAATGAGCCTATATAGACATTTTTGTAAATCAGTAATCGGGAAAGAAACACTGTTCACAAACATACGTATATAATGTGAAATAATCTATGAAAACCAGTTAACCCAGAATATAAGAATCGGACCAAAGCTAATTGGATGCAGATCTGAATTCCTGAGGAAAATTTCCAGGAGTTTCAGGACTGCATCATAGTTGCCCGGTAGAAAAAAGATCGCATTGGTGGTTCATGCGATGTCAGAGTAGCCATTCTTAGAAAGTGCATTTACAGTAAAGGTGGTCTTTTGGAACGCAACTAAGATTAATATTCTGTTTACTTAATTTCCACAGCCCAAGGTTTACGTTTTGTTTACTACAGTTATGAATTTATGTTCACCCACATTAATTGAAAAAAGAGTTAAAAGGAATTATGACTGACTAAACGGCATGCGCAGTGAGAAGCTAAGGCAGACAGGTTCGGAAAAGTCCTCGTATCGGCCCGTTATCTTACAAGACTCTTTAAAGGCGTCTGAGAATGTCCAAGTATGCACCTTGTATTCAGTAATCACGCAGAAAACGTCCAGTCTACATTCTGTTCTCCTTGACTGCATACGCTTTGCCTGTAAAAACCGCAACTGGCTGATCGAGGGCTGAGCAACAGTCGACAGCAAGAAAAGGTCGGCATTTGAGATTCTAGACGTCAGCATGTTGATCTGACGAAAAAATCACAAGAAATCTGAACAAAAGGAGCAGAAGTCAGTGGTTGGGCATTAATGGCTATTACAACAAACAAGCCTGATCAAATGATTATAGGTTATAATAGTAGAGGGGCGATCATCGATCGCTTCTACGGAACTCACTCGTCCCGTTATGCTTTAGGTCTCTCTCTCGAGCCCAACAGGACGAGCGAGTTTCGTAAAAACGATCCTCTACCATTGTATATTCCCGATCGCTACCGACAGAAAAACGGATCCGTGGCCCAGTGGTTAGAGGCGTTGGACTTCTAACTAACACATCGCGGAATTGAGCCCCAGGCGTTCCACACTTCGGAGTGGAGTATGACTTACTGACGAGGGCTACTAAGCCAGAAATGGCCATTCCAGTCTCCCTTATCTTTGTCGGTAATACCATTGTAGATTACGTTGTGATGATCGCACCGAAAGTTGACATGTCAATACATGTGGAGTGAGACAGCAGTTTGGAGAAAAATTAAAAAATGATCAATAAAGCAACATAGGATCGGTCAACTGTCATGACCATCTGAACTGTGTAAAATAATTGCGTGTAATTATTGTGACAGTACAATAAAATTCTTATCATTTTGTTCACCCCACCTGTGTGGTTAACAAACCATACTTATCCGGCGTCTTGGGAGCATAAGAGTTAAATTCAACTTAAAGCAGTTATGATCAATTCCAAAACGTTCACTTTTTTAAAGAGGGACGTTCAGCCAACGCAATGACGGTTTTAACGAAGTTGGTTGCTCAAAACAGCCTTGTAACCTCTCAACTCACTCTTTTCATTCGAAAATGCACCCTCACAAGTGTGGAGATGGGATCTGGCGCTCACAGAAACGCCAGTTAACTTTACTTAGCCGTAATAGTTACTTCCTGCAACTTAACACAAACTCCGTTAAAGTTGACACCTGAACCAGCGTTCACATTATCAAAAGAGTCAAAGTGACATGTTACCTCGAGGGTTGCCTGCAAGCGTTTAATTGGGTTAGTGAAATATGAGTCACTGACGCAGTGTGGCCCTATTCTCCAGGCATATTTTTAATCATTTTTCATGCTTCCTCTCCTCTATCTCCTTGCTGGATGGTTGTTCAAGTCAAAAAACGAGAAGAGCCACATAAAATTTGCATGAAAACCTGTGGCGTGCGCGCGGTATTGGAAAATAAGTGCTTCATCCGATGTATTCTAACAGCGGCAGATTCTGAGTAGGAAAAACGCTATTGTAGTTTTCTTATTTTACAACGGGTCCTGGAACGAGATTAAAAACAAAGAGCACACTGGAGGCGACCTCATGTGTGCATGTGTGTATTTGCCTCTCCCCCTCAAAGGTCTGCAAGCATCTGCTATGCCAGGACCAGCAAACCATGGCCCTCGCAGCCTGGTATATTCTGGCAGTTCTTCGGTACTTGATTTTCTAGCGCTAGATGTGTTTGCGCTCCCACTGAGTGTACAGGTTGTGAGCATAACTGCCCAGTCATCATCACCACCACCGTTATCATCGTCTTAATCATCATCATCATCATCATCATCATCATCATCATCATCATCATCATCATCATCATCATCATCATCATCATCATCATCATCATCATCATCATCATCATCATCATCATCATCATCATCATCATCATCATCATCATCATCATCACCACCACCACCACCAACACCACCACCACCACCACCACCGCCACCACCACCACCACCACCACCACCATCATCATCATCATCATCATCATCATCCTTCTTCTAACTCGTTGTGGTGTTGCTGCTGTTGGTTGAGATTCCGGTCACATGTTTATTGGGGACCAGGGGTGTGGGATGGAGCACCAAGGTGCGGGCTCGGCCGCGCCATCCCTCTGCGTCACCCCCGACTACGGTATTCTTTATTTGTTTTGCCTTCTTTCAGTCACTTAACAGAGAATTACGTCCTCTTTATATTTTATACTCAAAGAAGGAGTATAATCAAGTTTAAAAAAAGTTTTCTAATTGTCGAATAATTGTGAGCCTGATCATTCCTTGCGTTAGCATTAATTGATTTCAGTCTACAAGGTGCATTCGTTCCGCGTAAAGAAAATCGCAAATTTTTCTGTGCCTTTAAAAAGATATCATATAGAGTCCATAAAATTTTTCAGTGGATGCGGACTATGTTGTACATTTCAAGAGGAGCTGTGGTAAACAGACAGGTACGATGCTATGTGAATGGACATTGAACGTTCTTAAAAAATCTCATAATTAGAAACTTTTAAATCTAATTATACTCTTTCCTTGAGTACAAAGCATAAAGAAGACGTGATTCTCTATTAACTGAGTGAAAGAAGTCATATTTTTATTCCCAGTTTTGATAAAATATATTTGAATTTGCAAGACCATTGAAAATCAATGGGAAAATGCATGCCACTTAAGTAGTCATTATTTACTGAATACGATTTCTACAGGAGATTGATAAGCAGCATATTCAAAAGCTGACATCCTGCCAAGTCTGAAATTTTATAAGGTTATGCGACAGGATAATCATTATTATAACCGCGCTTACGTAATCCTCCCTGATCGAAAACGCATTTCAGAATTTCGCCCAGCATTTTATAAGATCGGTCACTTACTGTAAAGGTTCTGGTGGCATGATTAGATGGAGCTGTGTATGCAGCTCCTGCCCGATCTCATGAAACGTTGACCGAAATTTGGAAATGTGCAATTAAGTAAGACGAACTACTTAAACACCGTTATCATATCGATTATCCTGCGGCATATCCCGTGATATTTCAGACATGCCATGGTATTGACTTTTAAACACACTCCTTTTCGGCCGCCTGCATTAACTGCAGTCCTGAGAAGTGGTTACTTATGGAGTATGCGCATTTTACATTGAGTTCCATGCCTTTATCAAGTCAAGTATATTACGTAGAAAGTGTACACTGAATATTCTTTGTTGTACTCGTTTAGTAGCGAACAACGCCTTTTTCAAGTTTCCTATTCAAAGAAAGGGTATATAGGGCTTTTAAAATGTTTTCAATTATGAGATCTTTTAAGGCCGTGTAATAACTTTTCAAATAACATAGTATCTGTCTGTACTGTAATGCTCCTCATGACGTATAAAACACGGTTCACATCCGTTGCGAAATTTTGTGAGCATTACGTGTTATCTACTTATTGGCACAAAAAATGTATTCTTTCATACATGAAAAGTATGCAGCTGTAAACCGAAAACCGCAAGCGGAAATGCAGCAGCAAATAAGACAAAAACTTATTCCGGGATTCAAAAAACTCCTAACCAGCCGAAATATACCCTTTCTTTAGATAAAAAATTGCAAAAAGACGTGCTTTTATACTAAATGAGTATGAGAAATAGTACTGGTTTGCACTTTGTCTACATAATATACTTGACTTTATAAGGACATCAAAAATCGATAGAAAAAGTGCATTCTGCGTAGGTAGACATTTTTCATGGAGTGCGGCTACTGGAGATGGCCGAAAAGAAGTGCATTTAAAAGTCGACATCCTGACTTGTCTGAAACATTATGGAATTATTCCGCAAAATAATCAATATCACAACGGCACTTATGTAATCCCTCCTATTTGGATACTTATTTGGGAATTTCAGTTAACATTTCGTGCGATCGGTTAATAACCGTGTGCCAGTAACAACCCGGAATTCCTGCTACTCTTGCTAGACACTGCTTAAAATCAAGCTGACTGTCGGTGTTTGAGATAACAGGGAAAATACCGAACGAGCCAAAAGTGCACATGGTCGACCATCTGCGCCTTTAGGAGTTTCGCTCGGTTTAGGACACCAAGTGTTATTTAAATCGCCAACGGTAGGGAAGTAAAACAAAAAATGAAGTCCTTTCGCCGTCTTGCGCGGTGGAAAAAGATTCTTCGAGGTGACTGTCCTTAGGAAACCCTTACTAGTATTCTCATGATTAAGCCACACCATCTTCGCCTACCTGTCAGAAAAGACGGAAAAGTATGAACGAGGGAAAGAAGGCAGAAAAACGTGTGCTCAGGGTTTTAGATAAGCCGGCGGACACCTTGTCCACCAAAACTGTATCCTTTTGAAAAATTGATGATTTGAAGAGTAGGACACTTAAGCGTTTCTGCTGTTGCACAGTCATACAAGCCGAGAAAGTAGTTAGACAGTGATAAGGAAGTTGGGTAAACATCTGCCTGGGGTGTGTCCTCCCATCTTCAGTGGATCATGCATCCAGTCCAGCAGGTTTTGCGAATTTCGGCTTTTTAATCGCCCCAGAAATTAATTTCTAACCTAACAGAAATCTGTCGGAATGGAATTCTATAGACTCAGTCCGGAAGTTGATAGAAGTATTTGAGCCGAAATTCATCTACTACGACGGGATAACCACGTAGTACTCACAAACTCTCAACAGGCAGCCAGTAGTATAGACATGTTGTATGATTTACCGCACTGACAGCACGCATACCTGCCAAAATTTCAGGCCCGTGTTTTACGAGTATTCTTCTGTTACATGACACAGCTGCAAGGGATTTAGCCCATCAGCGGTTCCCCCAGCGTTCCGCATACCCTTTCTCGTAGATACCGCAGTTTAAATATCTTCAGAAATTAATCGTAAATCAGTCGGAATGCAACCTTTGGGCTCACTCCAAAAGTTCAGTTTGTAAAGTTGTCTGAAGAGACTGAGGCAATTTCATCTTACTCAAACGAGGACTGTCAGCCGTATATCCCTGTTTACGGATTGGTTACACCATTGGTTGTGCAACCAAAATATCATGCCTGCCGTAACTGTGTAAACAAACGTCACGTCTGACATTCTCCCAATGATAATTTCCGGATTATGTTACAAAAACATGAAACTAGAGGCATACTGCAAACATCAAGGGCAATTATTGTCACGTTTTGACTTTTTTACGGAAAACTCTCCGGCAATCTTGTCTGCGAGAGAAATGACGTATCGTTACCCGGCGCTCATATATATTTGCTGCAAAACAAAATATCTAGATTCGTGTTCACAGGGCTTAGACATGACCCAGACCTCTTGCGCGAGAGTTTGTCGTCCATGTAACTGCGTAAAAAGCCACTGGCAACAGTCCTTTCCGACAGAGTTGCGGTAAAGTACACTGAACAGATTTTGGACACACTAAAAACTTATTCGTGCTGCACTAAAAATAAGAGTTTAACGTGAATAAAATGCGCGTTTCCAGGCCACTTCGCCGCTTGGAGGATAAAAACCGCATATGCAATGCAAGCTCCCAAACCAGGTTACTGGGTGAACTTATAGTTTATCTTGTTAGTCTAAATACATGAGCCACTGAATGAGGTATTCACTGCTCTAGTCATAATTTTGGTACTAGTGATTGCCTTGGCGACACAAAATGGAGCGTTTACACGCCATTTAACAGGAGGGAGTAGTCGCTAACTGAGGCTTTTAGCAGACAGAGACATGGAGACATAAGGACTACTGCTCATTTCGTTACTGCCGTCAGCCGGTCCCACCCAGTCCCCATGTCTAGAAGGATCTGACATTTGAATGCATCCCTCACCAATTTGACAACGGACTCACTCCAGTGCCAGTTTTTGGTCGTGTCTGAGCGACGTTAACAGATCTGTTCTCCTGCGTGATGCCCTGTTGTAGGTTGCGAAAGTCGCGATTCCACGCTTGGCGGACGTTAAACCACGCCGACTTTGCATAAACATCCTGGTATTCCCTTGAAGACATGCCGTTCATCAAGTGGCGTGTACACATTTGCGTCCAGTGTCAGCGTGAAGGTTGTAGACCGGAACTTTAGGACACAGTAGAACGTCCGTGGTCCATCCTTCAATGAGAACAAGTTAATTAATATTGACTTAACTTAACAATCATGGCTGCTGCATGTCAGTGCTAGAGAGCTTGGTTTGCTGCTGGATGACGAGAGGGCAACGATTTTCCTGGCCCTAGGTTTGAACATGGTTGGCTTTTGGAATTTGCCGTTTTAGTCCCCATTAGCAGTGTTCTTCCTGTTAACTCTGCTTTTTCTACCGCGTATACTCTTTCGAAATCATTCCCCTTCTCTGACTTACTCGCTGATTACTGTTATCTCCCGCATCGCTTCAGCCCTGGTGTTCCTCAAATACATGCTGTTCTTTGTAATTCAACAAAATTACTAGCTATGAAACGTTTGCTCAAGTTTAAAAACTTTCCTACCAATTTCATACCCCTTATTACCAGAAAACTGGTGAGCCTACCCTGTCTGACCGAGGCATTGCTGTCAAGTTCAACATCTGTTCCAAAAAAGTAGTGCACAACTTGATCGTAGCTTTGGGCGCCCATGATGTCGAAAAGTGCGCGCTCTATATAACTGCAGTATTATGTCCTCAGGAGGCGTGAGCAAGGGATGAGATCAATTTTCAGGTAATAGGATCACTATCTTCCTGTTTTTTTTTCACGTGGAAGGAGAATAATTAAGGTACAATCGAAAAACCTCAGGCATCTAACGCACTAAGCGTAGGTGCGTATTTATATATACATTTTTTACGTAAGTATGCAAGCCAGGGAGTCTAAAATCCGCGAAGTATCATACCAGCTTCCAGATATGCCTGTTCCTCCACCGCTGATAAGGCTACTGCTCCATGTTTAATTCTATTTCTTAAACACACCCTGCATTTCTTTCTAATAGAATCAAGGAAGCGAATTCCAGGAAGTAGTCACGGCGGAGACAAGATCGCTAGAACAAGGGTCTAGTTAGCCTGACGTTTCGGATCCTCTCTCGAATCCATCATCAGAGACAGAGTCAGATAAGGGTAGTGGATTGCCCAGGCGTTGTAATATTTATAGAATGTTGTTACTAGGCCGCATCATGCCTACCACAGTTGGCAGCTCCCGAGTGTATCACAGGTCGACTGGTCAGGTGTTAAAGTATGCCGTTGTCATGCCGCGACTATGCGCCTGCATGCCGATCAAGATTATCGACTCCTACGCTCATCGCATGCCACCGAGCGGCTGACTACTGGATTTCGTCATCCGGTGGTCTCAAGTGTTCCTCCGTGTATTTACTAGTGGTAGAACACGTCATATCTAAACTGCATACTTGATGAAATGAAGTTTATAATAATAAAATTCCTTAAGAACAGGAAATTTCCTGTCCTACAGCATCATATCTGAGTTAACATTAATGTGTCTTATGAAGTAATTGACGAAAATCACACTCGATACAAAAACGAATACCTAAGTGGTAGGATTTATTTTCACTGATTTTCGATACTGTCAAAAACTAAAATATATTTTAAAGAAAACGTGGTCTTAAGTGCTCCTTTATTTATTTACTTGTCGTAGATCATGTCCTTTTTAAAATTGCGTACTTGATGAAATGCTATCTGGGTTTCTATGAAGTTTACAATGATAAAATTCCTTAAGAACATGAAAGGTCCTGTCCTACAGCATCCTATCTGAGTTCAAATTAATGTCGCTTATGAAGTATACAACGCAATCTGCATTAGTTGCGAAATTTCATGAGCCTACGGTAACGTCTTCCTTGATACCATAGGAAAATTCATGAGTTTTCGCGCCCAGTAAGTACACAACACGTAGTATGAAATTCGAAGTGCAGATACAACTGCAGGTTCGGCCCAAGGCTCTTCGCGAGTCGAAGAAGTCTCGACACCTCAAGGTGCCCTTTCTCCAGGTACAACATTTGAGAAAGACATCATTTACGATTAAATGAGCACGAAGAAGAGTATATTTTCACATTTTTCTACAAAATACGGCTGAATTTATAAGGCCAACGTACACCGATGGGACAAATCCATACCACTTACGTTGTCATTTTGCCCCTGGTGGGAGTCCTGCATGCGGCCTGAAAGGAGCCCATTCAAAAGACGATATTTATCATAACAAAAATATCTTTGGAATTATGATGTGCCCTAGTTAATATCGCAACCACACCCAACTATTCCTTTTCCATTTGGAGACCAAGTTTCGAATTTTGGCTAACATTTCGTCGAAGGGACCGCCCACAACAATTCTTAAAAATTATCCACTAATAACCTGTCTTCTAAGCAATGAAATGCAGAAGTTGTTTGGCTGATGAGGGTATTTTTAAATCGTCGCTGCAACCTCACTGGTAATGGAATTTATCATTCTTCACAATTATGTAAGAAAACTGTCCCTAAAGTATTCTCGCTCTTCACACGACTGATTTTGACCGTATAACTGACACTCGCACAGTTTGATCAGAGCAGACTTGTGTGTCAAAGGAACAGCTCAGCAGGCCCAGATTATACCGAAAGGTCAGCGGTCTGTTCTTGAAAGGTTAGTACTTCATCTGACAACCAGTTGCAGATTCATTTTAACATTCCCTCCTTCAGCATTAAGTCGAAAACTGCCTTGCCGATCATCGACTCCAAACTTGGACTCAGCAATTTGCGATTACCTTCTACAGCAGCTGTAGGTTTGCTCCTGAAGCAGATGGCATAAATTGCCAACTATACCCTCATCTCGAGCGTTTGCCACACTCGAGGCTGGAACGCGAATCCGGTGAACAAAGCTCTGACCGTTGGTCTACTGACTCCTGTTGGCGGAGATTGGAAATATTTAGTCATGTGGGGGACAGCGAACACCGATTTGTTCAGATTTGGCACAGACGACGCCGTTTTGCTTTCGAGCTTGCGGGTGCACAGCCCACGCAGGCGGTGAGATGGCGGCAGAAATTAATAATCGAGCAGCCCAGCGGTGGCGTCAGCCTTACTCGATAAGAAACTGGCTGGGGTCCATGCCACAAGTGCGCCAGCACCTGTGGGGTCAGGTAGAACTCACTGTTGACAGCAAGCAGGTCAAAAATGGTCCAACGGCCTTGACTGTGGCGGTAGCACCTCTCGGTTATCGACTGATAGTAGTCATGCTACCGCATGCCTGGCCTGCGGAACCTACGTTTCAGGGTAGACCAGAGATGACCACTGGTGCTTTGTTGAGACTAGGATAGGTCGGTTCTTGTCGAATGAAAAATGTCCAATTTCACGATGGAAATTATCACTTAACTTTTTGCTACCCCAACTTTCGATAGGGGGCAAAAACTCACGGATATTATCCCCCCTGTATTGAAGATCTTCGCGGCTTCCGACGTCCGCTGCCCGTTGTGAACCTGAGCCATCAGTTAATGATCACGCTTAGTTTCTCTAATTCGTCACCCTGGTGGTGATTTACTCGCTCGGCGAAGCAGTATCATGATGACATCTACCCGCGCCTCGGTGTTCCACGCAGCCTCTTAATGTCTCCGTCCCACTCCAACGTTAAGCGGACTGTGGACAATCGCGATTGGTTCCTCCAGCCTCACCAAGTTTACGGCACTTTCTGCAGTCATCCGAGATGTAAACATGACCGTATCTACAACAAACAGCCTCATCCCGTCTAGCAATTCGCTCTTGAAAAGCACTGACATTCATACTCTGACCTGCATTGCGGTCCGGCCCCAGACGCATTTCCTCGATCCATGAGCGAGAGGTTTATTCTCCCGAAAAACTAACGAATCACATTTATTTTATGTCTTTTTCGACCAGCTCCTACAGGAGTTTTTGCTGCCGCCTACATTTTCCTATACGCAAAAATTAAACGCTGTAGAGGTTCACTCATTTATTTTGAGATTCACTCGTAAATGCACTTATTTAGATGTAAGTTTAGCTTACGGTGCCAGTATGCCCTTGGGTGATAAATAAAAACAGAAGGGGGGAGAATGTGAACAGGAGGGAAACAGGTGGAGATAGGACTACCAAGTTGCCCGCGCCATCGGCTGTGGAGGGGCAACAAGTAGCGAAAAGATTAAGTGGTTTGGGTGCAAGTAAGAAGGCCAATTCGGTAGTCTGTCACACAGGGGAGCATGTGTGTAATTAGGTGAAACAAGTGGACAGACTCCATCAGATGCGTGAAATGCTCCATAATATAATACAGTAATATACTCGCTTACACAAATCCTGCCTAACCCCCGTGAACAACAAACTACCTTAACTTCGCCACTGCCTACTGATTGGGCTAATATGGAGATGGATATTAGGTACTTTTGTCAACTGCATAGCAGCACAGAAATGTAAATGTAGCCAGGCCGGTAGCAGGCAGCTAACAGGAATTTAAACGATCAGTGCAGACTAGCCATATCATCAAGAAGTCTGGGTAACACCAACGAGGGTGAAATTGCTGCCTACAGCTCACCACAATTATTCGCCTCACGGAAAGCCCATCTCTACCATTTTTCAATCTACCCTAAATCCCACAGATTTGGTACTTTTGAACGTTGATGATTTGCTCTAGTCAAACACCCATTGATGATTCTTCAAAGAGGAGGCCAGGAGGGGCTGACAGTCCACCCATATGTTCATATGCACATCATGCATGCCAAACTTCATTCTCGCGAAACTGTGCGTAGGTGATAGACCAGATATGTAGTACTCCTCCTCCTCCTCCTCCTCCTCCTCCTCCTCCTCCTCTTCCTTCTCCTCCTCCTCCTTCTCCTCCTTCTCCTCCTTCTCCTCTTCCTCCTGGGCATTTTTGGAGGGGGGTGCGGTTCACTGGACGGAGATTCGCGGAGGTATGCAGTAGGCAAAAATACATAATGTCCATCTCTATATTTAGCCCAATCTGGAGGCGGTGGCGGAGGTTACGACGAACGGTCACGTAGGCAGGCGGAACTTTGTAGTTCAGGAGGGCATGGCGCAGGGTTTACGCAAGCGAGCAAATCGCGCGCTGCAGGCACGCGTTTAGGCTGTGAAAATTTCCCTTGCAGAATCCTTTTCTTCACCAGATTCAACACCGGTAAATTGATATGAAATGAACCCACTGGAGGTGGCATCGCGCATGGTTTCGTAACACCTGAGCATTGGACCTGCGTTCTCTCCAAAGAGTTCGACAGTGTGTTTGGCTTATGGTCCGTCGAAGTCTACTAACATCACGTTTGCACAAATCCCGATGTCATTTTTATTCCGGCAAATGTTGGGTATCCCGCGTTTTTCAAAAACGCTTGTACATCTTAACAAACAAATAAGTGATGCATCTGACGTAGAGATACGTTAGAATAATAGGAAAGCGGAACTTTTGATTGGAAGGGGGAGGGAGATATGGAGACTATCTCCGAAACAGAAGCCCGTATGGAGGAGATAATGGTATAGAAATGCATCTGACGGCGAGATACGTAAGAATAAGAGGAAAGCGGAATTTTTGAAATAAGGGGGAGGAAGATATGGAGACTATCTCAGAAACGGAAGCCCGTATGGAGGAGATAATGGCATAGAAATGCATCTGACGTCGAGATACGTAAGAATAAGAGGAAAGTTGTTTGGTTACTTACGTACTAAGTGAGTATAAGTTTTCAAATGAATTTTAGAACAAGTAGGCAGACGCTGTACGGTGTCCTGTTCGTGCGTGTAAATAGGCGGTCTGGTGTGAAAAACGCCTGGCGAGAAAAGAAGAATTTCCTTTTTTCGAAAGCAGACAATGAATGCGATTTGATTAGATGTGAAGGGAAAAACCGTTGCTCATAAAAATGTAAATATTTGAGTCAGACAAGACCAGCGTGTATGTGGTCATGTGTGAGGGTTCGAAACGGACATCGTCAAGGTAGATTTCCCAAACCGGATGGGGTTATTCACTGCAGATGCGATCATAATATTTCGCGTCGCCAACAGAACAAACGCCAAGGTTTTCGAAACAAGAGGAACTCAAACGCGATCAGTCACAGTCCGCTCAGAGGCCAGCTGAGGAAGAAACATTAAAAGCTGCAGTGATCATCGAAGCGTAGGGAGGGGGTGCGATCATGACACCTCTTTGCTGACAGACCAAACTACCAGCAGGTGACGAAAACAGAGGAGTCTGCCGGGATCTTCAACAGATCGCTTGAGGTCGAAGTGGGGAGATGTTATCAAAAACTGCGAAAATCGACCCTGCGGGGAGGGAGAAATAACAGTGGATTTAGGAGCCACTTAAAACAGGGGTTATATAATCTTATTTAAAGTTTCCACGCAAACGAGCAAAATGTGTATTATCTACCAAAAATCGCGGGAGGACTCTATTCAAAATCAAGGCGCTGAGTGTTTGTGACAGAAATGTTTCGATGTAGACCAAAAATGTGGCGGAATAACCATGGAGGAATTACGCATGGCATAAGACCGATCCCTCGGAGTGAGAGTGTCATTGCGCAAAAGATTGGAGCTAGAATTAATGCGAAAGAGGAGGCAAAGGCCAGCTGCAAATCTTCTACTCCATGAAAACTTAATGTTCACCAAATAAAATCTTCTAGTATAAGAAATATCGGATAGCGTTCAGGAGAGGAGTTTTCAGATAAAGACTATTTTCGATATTGTTACGTTCCCGGGAGTACATTAAAGCAAAGACGGAACAGCAGTACTCGAGGACGGGAGGAACAAACAGATGGTTGAGAGGGGCTGACAGTCCACCTATGCGTGCACGTGCATGTCATGCTTATCAGACTTCATTCCCACGAAATTGTGCGCAGGTGATAGACTAGCTACGAGGTACACCTCCCCCTCTTCCTCCCTCCCCTCCTCCTACTCTTCCTCGGCAAGGGTGCAAGGCGTGCGGTCCAGTGGATAGAGATTTACAGAGGTATGCAGTAGGCAAAAATATTCAGTGTCCATCTCTATATTTAGCCCAATCAGGAGGCGGTGGTGGAGGTTACGGCGAACCGTCACGTAGGCAGGCGGCAGTCAGCTGTTCAGGGGGGGGGGGTGGGAGGGGATCTGTCCGAGCGGATAAATCACGTGCCACATGCCCGCGCTTAGGCTGGTAAAATCTCCCTTTAAGCCTCCTTAATTTCGGCAAAATCACCATCGTGTCGCGATCAAGAAACTAGGTTTGCATTTATCACGAGACAGATATTTCACTACTTGCGCTGCGAGAGTGCGAACGTCCCCATAGGTGCTCTACCCCGAAACAAAATGAATCCACGAACATCAGGAAATCGTTTACAAAAGTACAACGATGCGGCCAGTTTTTGCAAATCTGTACAGTAAAGATCGGTGCTGTCTGCTGACAGTCGGGAAATATGGGGCAGAATGTGCATCTACGTTTTTACGCGACTATCAGTCTGGATGATATCGAAATTTTCTATCAGTAAATGTTGATTAAGTTCGTTTTCGCAAGAGGACGTGCGGCTGTTGTTGCAGCGTCCAGTTATTAAAATTTACTTCCTCTCGCAATCTGTTGCCAATGAATACTGCCTATTTTACGCCTACTTATTTCCTACTCCACAGCAATTTTCAATCCCTTGACCTGAATGTTTTAGTAGTAGAGCACATGAGCATATCAGTTTTCCAGCTAGCATTTAGTGCACGCAGTACAGGGGAGCATGTGTGTAATTGGGTGCAGTTAGTGGCCAGACTCTATCCGATATATGAAATGTTTCATATGCTAACATTCTCTGCCTGGTAATCACTCTTGCCTGCTGTCAGTACGGCCGCGTTCATTGTAACCTTGCGCATTTATGAGCTGAATGGCGGATGGCTTGCACAAACTAGTCATAGGAATTGGGCGTTCGACTTCGAAATAAGAAACGTATCTCACTGCGTATTCTTTTACGGAAACCCGTTTTATGTCTTAAGATGTGCTGGTGATCTTGTAACGAAAAGGAAATATTTGTCGGACTGTAGGATGTCAGTGTAGGGTCAACTGATCAGACAAAGAGATTTCTACGTCCCCTTGTGTGCGATGCGAGTTCAGTCCCTGCCAGCTCCCCCAAACACAATCTCCACCCTCCATTTCCGCATAAGTCAAACATGCGTTTTAGAAACGAGTAACCGTCCAATGGAATTCTATTCAGAAGCAGAATTGGTCGCTGGAACAAGACCACTGTTCGTTTATATCCGCATAACTGATCGTTCGGGTTCATCCTCGAACCCAGTATCGGAGCCCAAATTGGACGTTGTCTGAGTGAGGCATTCATAGGATGCGGCTGCTACACAGCCGCTGACACATAACTTGGCATGTCGCGGTCAGGGCAAATGATCGTCATTTACGTTGACGCCCTGAGATTCATCTCACAGACAGCTGCAATACTCGGTATACCTATTCTAATGTATAATCTTTTTAATGCTTCTTCAAAACGGTAAGCGTCTTAGAGCCACTATATTACGACGCCTAAATAATCAGCCTCAACAAAACTCCTGTCTACGCTGTTGGACACTTCATCAATAACTTCGGAAAATTAAATATGCATCTTCAGTAGCACGACAAAACCCTGGGAAAAGTGTGAAATGAGTCGCATAAGCAGACATCTGACAATGGTTGAAACATCTCAAAAGATGGCCCCATTAGGCCATTCGGCGCAGTCATCATTCTCCAAGTATACGCCCCTACGTCGCCGTCCTTGAGCGTGGGGAGAAAGCCTTCCACATCCATGTCCCCATTAATAGTCAGGGCGTCGACCAGCACACGCTATGGCATCATTACTAGGCAGAGATTACGCCTAAAAAGCCCCTCTTTGCAAGGCCACAATCAGTTGAAGAACGTTTCTGCTCCCCACGCCATGCAATTTGAACCCACAATCTTGTGCGTTTAAGAGAAGCAATTGACATGGGATGACTTAATGAAGAATGCTTTTTTTAGAAATTGCCTTCATTAAGTGTCACCGCCCACATTGGTTGGGCAAACGCCCAGGAGTCGAGTCTGTTTCCACGAGTAAAGATAATCTATTGAGTCTCAGTTCTCTTCAAGATTTTTTCAACCTTTCAGATGCACTGCACTTCAGGAGATTTGGTCAAACTGATCAACTTGTTCTGCAGAAATGGCAGCGGTTAAGGCATACACGATGCATGCAGGACAAACAAACTGGCCGAAACAAGTATGACTGAGATGCATCTAGTTTTTATCGGCGATCTTGCAAGTTTCACTTCACTGCCTCCCCCCTGTCATCTAAATCCTACTTACTGGACTATGACAACAATCGTACATTCAAATTGATCAGCTATTTTTGATGGCGTAAACAAGGTTGAGCGGAAGACCCCAACTATTCAGGTGGATTTCACACAGGCGGTTTATTTGTCTAAATAAAACCCAACGGCTTTCTTGTTGTAGCTAACCTCTGCTCATTTGGATTAACACGAACATCAGAAAAATGAAGGAATCCCATTCAACAGCGTTAAAGACGAGCCAATCCAACACTGCGAATAAAAGGAGTAACGGTGAGAAAACTGTATCTGAAGTCTGAAACCCCGCTGGAAGATGATGCGCGCCGACGCTGGCCGCAGAATGACAGCACATAAACACAACAATTTATTTTTCGCGACCATACCTTATTCCACTCCATCTCCCTCTTACCCATATTCTGGGGAATATGCGTGTTTTTAATGTTGCAGTTCTTACTATTGACAGGTCGTGAGGGAGTATTTATTTTGTCTACGATATCTATGCAGACTTTTAACTGCGATTCTTTCCGGCATTTGACGGAAATCACACTAGATATAAAAATGAATACCTAAGTGGTATGATTTCTTTTATTGATTTTCGATACTCTTAAAAACTAAAATTTATTTTAAAGAAAACGTGGTCTTAAGTGTTTCTTTACGTATGTACTGGTAGAAGACCATATACTTTTTAAATTCCATACTTGATGAAATGCTATCTGGATGTTTATTAAGTTACCAATGATAAAATTCCTTAAGAACATGAAAGGTCCTGCCCTACAACATCCTATCTCAGTTCACATCGATGTCGCTTATGAAGTATACAAAGCAATCTGCATCAATAGCCTAAGGTAACGTCTTCCTTGATACTGTAGGGAAATTCATGAGTTTCCGCGCCCAGTAAGTACACAACACGTAGTTTGAAATTCGAAGTGCAGATACAACTGCAGGTTCGGCCCAAAGCTATTCGCGAGTTGAAGAAATCTCGAAAACTCAAGGTGCCCTTTCTCCAGGAACAACATTTAAGAAGGACATAATTTACGACGTAACGAGCACGACGAAGAGTATTTTTACACATTTTCCCACAGAAAACACAGCTGAATTTATAAGGCTAACGAACACTGATGGGACAAGTCCATACCACTTAAGTTGTCATTTTTCCCTGGTGGGAGTCCTGCATGCGGCCTGAAAGGAGCCCATTGAAAAGACGGTATTTATCATAACCAAAATAACTCTGGAATTATGATGTGCCCTAGTTAATATCGCAACCACACCCAAATATTCCTTTTTCATTTGGAGACCAAGTTCCGAATTTTGACTAACATTTCGTCAAAGGGACCCACTAAAAACCTGTCTTCTAACTAATGACATGCAGAGGTTGTTTGGCTGATGAAGGTCTTTTTACACAATCACCCCAACCTCACTGGTAACGGTATGCATCGTCCTGTGCATTTATGTAAGAAAACTGTCCCTAAAGTATTCTCGCTCTACACACAACCGATTTTGACCGTATAACTGACATTTGTATATTTTGATCAGAGCAGACTTGTGTGCCGAAGGAATAGCTGAGCAGGCCCACATTCTACCGAAAGATCGACGGCCTGTTCTTGAAGGGTTAGTACTATATCTGACAACCAGCTGGAGGTTTGTCCAAACATTCCTTCCTCCAACATTAAGTCGAAAAGTGCCTTCCTGGTCACCGACTACGAAATTGGACTCAGCAATTTGCGATTGCCTTCAAGAGCGGCTGTTAATTTGTCCCTCAAGCAGATGACATAAATTGCCAACGATAACCTAATCTCGAGCGTTTGCCACACTCGAGGCTGGAACACGAATCAGGTGAACAAAGCTCTGACCATTGCTGTACTGACTTCTTTTGGCGGAGATTGAAAATATTGAGTCATGTGGGGGACAGCGAACACCGATTTGTTCTGATTGGGCACAGACGACGCCGTTTTGCCTTCGAGCTGACGGGTGCACAGCCCACGCAGGCGGTGAGATGGCGACAGAAATTAATAATCGAGCAGCCCTGAGGTGGCGGCGGCCTTACTCGATGAGAAACTGGCTGGGATCCAAGCCACAAGTGCGCCAGCACCTGTGGGGTCAGGTAGCACTCACTGTTGACAGGAAGCAGGTGAAAAATGGTCCAGCGGCCTTGACTGTGGCGGTAGCACCTTTCGATTATCGACTGATAGTAGTAATACTACCGCACGTCTGGCCTACGGAACCTATGATTCAAGGAAGATCAGAGATGGCCACTGGTGCTTTGTTGTGACCAGAATAGGTCGGTTCTTGTCGAATGTAATATGCTCAATTGCACGATGGAATGTGTCACTTAAATTTTTGCTATCCCATGTTTTGAAGAGGGGGCTAAACTCACGGATAGTAGCCTCCCTGTATTGAAGATCTTCGCGACTTCCGACGTCCCCTGCTCGTTGTAAACCTGAGCCATCAGTTCATGACCACGTCGAGATCCTCTATTTCGCCAGCCTGTTGGTGATTTGTTTGGTCGGCGAAGTAGTATCATGATGTTATCTACCCACGCTTCAAGGCTCTGACCGCTGCTCTACTGACTTCTTTTGGCGGAGATCGAAATTATTGAGTCATGTGTGACGGCGGACAGCGAATTGTCATGGTGAAGCACGAGTGACGCCACATTGCTGACGGATGCACAGGCCACGTAGACGGTGAGATTGCGACAGAAATTAATAATCGAGCAGCCCAGCGGTGGCGTCGGCCTTACTCGATGAGAAACTGGCTGGGATCCAAGCCACAAGTGCGCCAGCACCTGTGGGGTCAGGTAGTACTCACTGTTGACAGTAAGCAGGTGAAAAATGGTCCAGCGGCCTTGACTGTGGCAGTAGCACCTTTCGATAGTAGTCATACTACCGCATGCCTGGCCTGCGGAACCTACGTTTCAGGGTAGACCAGAGATGGCCACTGGTGTTTTCTTGTGACCAGGATAGGTCGGTTTTTGTCGAATGAAAAATGTCCAATTTCACGATGGAAAGTGTCACTTAAATGTTTGCTACCCACGTTTCGAAAAGGGGGATAAACTCATGGATATTATCCCCATGCAGTGAAGACATTCGCTCAATTTCACGATGGAAACCCTCCTTTAACTTTGTGCAATCCCATGTTCCGAAGAGGCGGCTAAATTCACGTATGTTAGCCCCCCAAAATTGAAGATCTTCTCGACTTCCGACGTCCCCTGCTCGTTGTGAACCTGAGCCATCAGCTCATGATCACGCTTAGTTTCTCTATTTCGCCACCCTGCTGGTGATTTACTCGGTCGGCGAAGTAGTATCATGATGACATCTACCCACGCTTCGGTGATCATCGCAGTTCTTTCTGTCAACAGAACTTATTTTATCTATGGTGTCCACATTTTACTCTTCAGATACTGGACTTGCTTCGAGCCGGCTTCCCCGTTGGACTCTACATAGGTAAACGCTGTTTAATGTTGGGTCACGATAGTGCCTTCATGGCATCCATTATCGTTCATTAGACCCGATCGTGAATAACCCGACGGCTTCGGGGACATTCGAACCCATAACAGCAAGGACCGAGATCATACACAGTCAACGCTCTAACCACCGGAGTTATAAGACACCGACTGAGAGCTAGGAATTTAATCGCATTTAAATCAAATTACTCACCCAACCCACCGCAACGTACGACATTCTCCATTTCTGATACACCAAACCGACTGCCCAGGGAGGGTTGTCTAGGCAACCAATCTAGTATTCGCCAGATGACTACCACAGTCACGTACTTCATTGGTGTTTTGACAGATTTGAATAATTCATTTGACCCAGTTGTGAAAAGGCGGCGGCCTCGATGGAATTCGAATGCAGGACAGCAAGGGCAAGGGTAGGAGCAGGACCAACGCTCTAACCGCATGAACTACGAGGCCCCACCACTTTTTCACAATAACCTCAAGGAAATTATTCAAATCTGCCAATACGCCCATAAACTTATCAATGTCTCTGTGAAGCAACTCGCCAAAATGCTGTCGAAAGCCTATATCGTATTATGGGGATTCCTCAAAGTTGAGAATATGAGAACCACATACGGCACGAGAAGCCCAATACAACTACAAACGTGAGTTTTACGTGAAGTACAGTCGTCTGCATTGCATGAAGATTGCCTCATTTGGTAGCATCAGCAGTGACGGAGAGTAAAAAGGTGAATCTGGTCTCGAAGGCAATTTCGGTGACTAAGAGGGACATTTCGTCAACTCTGCCGACCTGTTCCATTCAAAATAAAAGAGCTCAGTCGGACATAGGCGGAAGAGGAGACTCTTACCTATCAACTGAAACGGAAATATATCAGAGTTGTAGTATTGGAGAACAGCCTGTGAAATGCCATTCTAGACGTCCACAAACAGCCGGGAAACTAACCCTGAGGATAGAATAACGTATCATCATGAGAAGATTTCCGTTTAAGTAGCCAGTCCATTTCGCTTCTACATACTACCGGGAACCATCAACTCACACTGTCAGAACATTTTGTGCATTAGTGATTTCTAGACGGCCGCAGAATCTGAAAATGAGGTTTAACTACTTGGAAGACAAAATGGAAACAAGTTCTATTTACGTAAATTTTTTGAGTCCATATGATTGATGACTTTTCTGTTCGTGGGAGGCAGACTAAGATCTCGGCTAATCAGACAGTTGGGAGGGCTCATACAGTAATTGACCTAACAGAAGATAGGTGTCGAAATTTAGGAATGATTGCCAATCACTCGCAAACCGGCATCAATCTGTGGACACGATAGTTATGTTAATAATTCACAATTTTGAAAGAATTAAAAGCATAAAAGAAGTATTCAAGGCAATGGTGCGTTGTTTAGACATGCCAATTTTCTAGAAAAGCGCAAAATCCCAAAAACATCAAAAATGGTTGTCACTACGTAAACGTCGCTTTTAGATGCACAGTATATCTTCATTTGCAGACCAATGAGTAAATATGGAAGCGCAAATAAAAAAGTGTTAAAAAACGATGTTTTAGTGGAGTATGCATAAAAATGTCTTTTATGACTTAGTATAATTTCAGGCATAATGCAGACTGGCCATAGCCTTGAGAAATCTGGGTTTCACCAACAAGGATGAAATTGCTGCCTACAGCTCACAAAAAAATATTTCCCTCAGCAAATCCCTATCGCCATCATTTTGTCGTTTAACGCAAATGCCACCGATTTGGTACTGTTGAAACGCTGGCGATTTGCAAGATTTGAGCCCTCATTGTTGATTCTTCCAAGAGGGTGTTATGGGAGGGGATAACAGTTCACCCATACGTGCAAGCGCATGTCCTGCTTTCCAAACTCTATTCTCACGAATCTGTGCGTGGGTGACGGACCAGCTACGAGATCCTCCTCCTCCTCCTTCTCCTCCTCCTCCATCTCTGCAAGAGTGCAGTGGGTGCGGTCCACTGGATGGTGGTTCACAGAGGTATGCAGCAGGCAAAAATACCTAATATCCATCTCTATATTTAGCCCGATCCAGAGGCCGTGTCAGAGGTGAGGATGAAATGTCACGTAGGCAGACAGTAGCTTGTTGTCCAGGAGAAGGGGGTGTGGCAGGCTTTGCGTAAGCAAGTAAATCACGCGCTACCTGCGCTGTGAAAGTGGAAATATCCCCATGGGCGTGGTACCTCGAAACGAGATGAATCCACAAAATTGGGAGGGCATTTTTGGAAATGTTTTCGCTGAGTAGTCCCAACAACCCGCAGCAATCTAGTCTGTTTTTAAAGGTCGGCATGCTGAAATCTAAAGACTGATCGGGCAGGGGTATACTCTGACAACGAACAGTTAGCAATCTTGCGCTATTTTAAGCAGTAGGCAAATTTCCATAGACTTGCTGATTTCAAAAACCGACAACATTGCTACATTTTCGAAAATAATTTTCTGATTTTTGTGGGTTCCTTTCACATCAATTTCTTGGGGGTGAATCTCTCGAAAAAGGATGCTACGAGGGAAATTTTCGCAGCCTAAGCGCGGGTCTGCAGCGCGTGATTTGCTCGCTTGCACAAATACCACCCCACCTCCTCCTGAACAACAAATTACCGTTTGCCCACGTGATAGTTCATCCTCACCTCCGCCACCGCCTCCAGATTGGGCTAAATATAGAGATGGACATTGAATATTTTTGCCTATTGCATACGTTTGTAAATATCTATCCAGCGGACTGCACCTTTTACACCCTTGCCGAGGAGGAGTAGGGGAGGGAGGGAGGAGGAGGAGGAGGGGCGAAGAAGGGGGAGGCGGTGTACTACATAGCTGGTCCATCACCCGCACACGGTTTCGTGAGAATTAATTTTGGCAAGCATGACTTGCACGTACACGACCTCATGAAATGTCGGCCAAAATTCTGAAATGCGTTTTCGATTAGGAGGGTTTACTTAGATGAAATTATACTACTGATGACTATGCTGCAGAATCCTATAGAATTTCGGGGCTCGCCAGGATGTCGGCTTCTGTATGCACTTCTTTTCGTCCTCCTGCAGAAGCCACACTCAGTTGAAATCGACATCTTGGGTAGCATGCATTTTTCACATTGATTTGCGATGGTCTTATAATTTCAAATACATTTTGTAGAAAGCATGCATAAAAATACGCTTTATGTTACTCGTTTGGTGGGAAAGCAAATTGTCTTTGAATTTTGTATCTTAAGAAAGTGTATCTTGCAGTTTAGAAAGTTTTCTAATTATGAGATTTTTATGATCGTGCGGTATCCGTTCCTTCAGCACCGCAAATGTCCGTTTACATATGCTCCTCATGAACTGTACACCGTAGTCCGCATCCCTTACAAAATTTCATGAACTCTATGTGGCATTTACTTAAAGGCATAGAGGGATATATGATTTCCCCCACGCGGAACCTTGTAGACTGAAATCGCTAAACGCTAATGCAACGGCCGGTTAGACTCAAAATTATTCGGAAATTGGGAAAGTTCTTAAAGACCTATATATACATTTTCTTCGGGTATAACGTGTAAAGACAATGTGATTTCCCACCAAACGAGTAAAATAAAGCGTATTTTTATGCATGCCTACTATAAAATATATATGGGTTTATAAGATCATCGAAAATCAATGTGAAAAATGCATGCTACTCAAGTAGCAATGTTAACTGAGTTTGGCTTCCGCAGGAGGGCGAAAAGGAGTTAATTCAAAAGCCGACATCCTGGCAATCCCGAAGTACTATATAATTTTGCCGCATAGTAACCAGTATTACAGTCTCACCTAAGCAATTCCTCCTAATCGAAAACGCATTTCAGGATTTTGGCCAACATTTTATGAGGTCGGTCACGCACTGTATTGGTGGAATGTCGGCCTCTCCTAACTCCCTCTTGTAATGATCAGCAATGAGGGCTTAACTAGAGCAAGCCACCAGCGTTTTAAAAGTACCAAGTCAGTGGGATTTGGGGTAGATAAAAAATAATGGAGATGGGGATTTGGTAAGGAAGATATTTGTCGTGAGCTGTATGTGGCAATTTCACCGTCGTTGGTGGCACATCGATTTCTCGAGGCAATGGCTAGTCTGCACTGATTGTTTGGAATCCTCTCAGGTGCCGTTTATCGGCCTGCCTACACCTGCAGGGCATCCGAGTTTGAATCCCAGGTTATCCAGACCTGGCTGTGCATACGGCTGACTGACGAAAACCAATACACCAGAAATGGCTATCGCACACCTCCTTGTATTTTTTGATGTTCCTTCCTGCGGCGGGAGAGAGGACACGATAATCTTTCGTGATAACTCACAGTAGAGCATGGGGTGGTATTTGTGCAAGCGAGCAAATCACGCGCTGCAGACCCGCGCTTAGGCTGCGAAA